TTGAGCCAAATCAGTTAGGGCATCCACCTGCTTTCTTGCCTTCTTCCCTTTTTCTCATCAGACGTATTCTTCTTTTAATTCTGGATCACATGCTCCCATCAATTATTCTCTCCCTTCTTTAAATTTTGTTATATCTCCCCTTCTCTGCTGACTTTCCAAACAGCACTTAAACATGCTTGTCTCTCATATGTTACAATAAATAAACAAAACTTCCTCTACCTTATATCCCTCTCTATATAATGTCTTCCTCCTCTCTGTTCCTTCAAAGTCCAGGTTTCAAAACCCACTGATTCCACTCCTGCGCTTCTCATTCACTCCCCAACCCACAGCTCCACTGAACTTGCAGCAGTAAAGGTGATCTTTATGTTAGAGCCCAGCGTCCTTCTCTTGCTGACCTCTGCATAATCTGACACTGTGTGGCACACCCTCCTTGAACTCACTTCTCCCTATTTTTCCTACATCTCTGGCCACTCCCTTGTGGTAGACAATGTCCTTCAGAGCTACTCTTCCTCTGATCCCAAAAACACCCTCCCCCTGGAATTCCCCAGAGTTTTTATTCAAACCTCTTCTCACTGTACACACACTCTTAAGCAATCTTCTTGCCCACTCCTGTGGTTTTTGTTTTGTTTTTTTGTAATATATTTTATTGAGTTTTTACAGAGAGGAAAGGAGAGAGATAGAGAGCCAGAAACATCGATGAGAGATAAACATCGACCAGCTGCCTCCTGCACACTCCCCACTGGGGATGTGCCCGCAACCAAGGTACATGCCCTTGACCGGAATCGAACCTGGGACCTCTCAGTCCGCAGGCCGACGCTCTATCCACTGAGCCAAACCGGTTTCGGCCACTCCTGTGGTTTTGATTGATGAGCTGATGACTGCCTCATCTATAGCTCTGAGCTCCACATGCAATACAACCACCTATCTGCTGAGCACCTCTGCTGAGCACCCCACAGAAACCTCAACCCCAATGCAATGAAAAATGAACTCAGGAGCTTTCCCTGCACCAGCATGTTAGCATGTCACCGCACATAACCTTCCTTCTCTTATACTCCTTATTTTAGTTAAGGACACCACCCACCCACACAGAAACCTAAGCCAGAAACCTCCAAGTCATCCAAGGTTCTTCGCTCTCCCGTCAATAGACCACATTCTAATAGTCACCAAAACACATGGATTTACCCCTTAGCATTTCTTGATTTGCCCACTTCACTACAGTAATACTTCAGGATCTTAGTTTAGCTCCTAATCACTCCCTGCCTAAATTACTGTCACAGCCTCCTAACTCATCTGTCACTAGTCTTGACTCTCTCAAATCCTCTTTCATACTGCTGCCAGAGGAGAAATATTCCTAAAATGTAAATCTAATGACAGCCTTTCTTATCCAAGATCCTTCAATGGCTCCTAAAAGCCTGTAAGATAAAGTCCAAGCTCTACACAGTAGGACATACTAAGTCAGTCAACATTTTAGCCCT